GGAGAAATGAAGTACCGATTCATGCTATAATACGGATTAACTTGGAAACAGTATGCAAAGCTGCACGTGGTATGATTCCACATATATCGAAATGCCTGGAAAAGACAGACACGCAGACACAGAACGTGGGTTAGTGGCTGCCAGCATCTGGTGAGGGGGAATGGCGAGTTACCGCTAATGGTCTCCCTCACGGTGGAGGTGATGGGATGTTCTGGAAGGAGATAGTGGTGATGACTGTACAACTTGTGAATATACTAAATGCTAGTAAATCATGCCCTTTAAAAAGTGCACTGTATTTTATCTCAATGCAAAATAAACAAAGAAAAACATAAGTGATGAATAAACGTAAAAAACAGTGTCACTGGCAAGCAAAGAAATGTGAGTGTAAACAAAAGGTTATTTCCTCCCATTGCCTTGACAGATATTTTCAAAAATAAAAATACACACTGGTGACGACAGTGATGCCATCATATACGGCTGTGAGCAGTGTAAATGGTTCGGTTCTTTCTGGAAAATAATTTGGTATTGTTCATTAAGAAACTTAAAATGCCGATTCTCTTGAACTTAGCCAGTTCTAGGAATATCTGGCAGACCGTAAGAAATGAGGGCCTTTGCCACATATTACGAACCTCCTTCCCTCTGAGGAAGGCAGAAGGGATGAGTCTCATTCTCACCCTGGGCCCCGTATGGACTCCACGTAACAGTTCTCAGCATGTCCGTTTCCTTCCCTGCAGCTCCATTCCACCGTCCGACGCGGTCTGGACGGCTCACACTCGGCGGCACACGTGTTCAGCATCCCACCTCCTTTCCCCACGACTCAACCAGTCCGGTCAGCATTGTAATGAGGTGAGGTCCTTCTGTCATGTTATCGTCCAAGTCCCCATCACACGTTCTCCCTCCAAGAAACAGGGCTAGCAGCTGCCTTGCCTCACCAAAATAAGGGCATTTCATGGAGTCAGATTGCTGGGGTTCGAATTCCAGCTTTGTCATTTACCACCTGTGTGATCTGGGTCTCAGCACCCTCACTGCATAGAGTTATTTTAAGAATCGATACATGGAAAGTGCTCAGAACAGCACTGGCACATAGTAAACCCTGAATTTGTATTATTATTATTATTATTATTATTATTATTATTTATTATTATTATTTCATTGTTATCATGTCATAAAGAAATCGTGAGATAGCTCTATGAGATCATAATAGTAAAATAAGACAATGCGTGTGAAACTGTTTTGTAATGTACCACTGGCATCATTTCGCATTACAGTGACATGTATGTCCTTCATCCTCGTAGATTATAGAAGAACAAGGATTATCACTTAGTTTTAATGGCCCCATTGCACATAGTAAATCCTCGAAACTCTGTACTTTAATTAAGTGTTCCTTTTATCAAATCGCCATTGACTTGTAGTTACGTTTAGAATCGAGTTTAAACACCATCGTGTCAGGAGTGCTCACATCCTGCTATGACACTAAGTCCCCTCATGTCTTCCACTGTGTCATCGTCTTCAAGGCAGAATCCACAATGGACCGCCCACTGCAGCATGGGACGGAGATTGTAGAAATCCTTCGTATATTCGGTTTTCATGTCATCCTTGTAAATTTTCATTTTTTTTGCATATATCATTATTAATGTCTGCAAAAACACTACGAACATGCTACAATATGCAAATAAATGTTAAAAGCGTATTGGACGTTAAAAGCGTATTGGCAGTCCAGGCTGGAAAACGTTTTACTAACAGGGCGTGCCATCTGCAGAGCCTGGAGGTGAGGGCACGTGCTGTTTCCGCTGGCACCACGCCGGGCCAGTCACCTCCTCCCAGAGCACAGGCCATCTCCTTGTTTCCAGACCTGGCTCACAACCAGTCTGCTTGTTCACAGTGACAAGGAAAGCAGCCACTCCTTTACAAGCTGCAACTTGCATCCCTCACACCAAGACTTCACCACCACCAGATGCAAGCTTTTCAGAAGTGTCTGCGCCTGGTCCCTCATCGTGTTGTCCCCAATCTTCTACCACCACCCCCCACCCCCCAGCACACACACACACACAAAAGCGTTTTCGTAGCTGGCTCCCAGTGAACGCTTGCTGAACAAACCAACTAACACATTGCTACTGGGAGGCAGGAGAGGGTGCTGGTGAGCAGAGGCTCGAATGCTTCTCACACTTACAAACTGGGCAGCCCCAGCTTCACCTTCTGGGGTGAAATGAAGGTCGTAAGAGTACTTCTCGGGCAGGGACGTTGTGAGGGTTAAATCAGCTAACACCAGCAACGTAACACACTTCCTAAGCGTTAGCGCTGTTACGGTGTCCCAGAGATTTAAACGTAGTTAATGTCTACAGAGCATCTAGAACACAGTCAGTGAATAAGTGGCTAGATCTTCTCCACCAGGTGTGTCAGTCAGAATAGTTCTTTGTGACTCTCTCCTTCTCTCAAATTTCTCACCTCAGATTTACAGCTTTCTTGAGATTATCACAGCCCTTTCACTTGGATTGTCTAATTCATGCACTCTTCCCTGTCTTGTGAATTAATCTCCTTAAGAAGAGCAGCCATGTTTTGCTTTGTCTTAATAGTATCGTTGTGGCTGCTATGTGATCAGCTCCTCTATATTTCCAGAAAAGGAATGTGCTATGAATCTGGTGGATAAAATTCTCCTTTGGAATTGCCAATAGCATCTTTTTTCTTTTTTTTTTTGCAGAGTTTCACACAAACACAGTTATTCGTGAATGCTGCAGAACTAATGGTAGTTGATTCCCTACCCAGATAATAAAATTAAATAAAAAATGTCTTGACTCAGAAAGATTAGTAGCATCATCTCATGCAGAAAATGTCAAAAAATCTTCAAATATAAAATGGGGTGATTACTATCTAGTGTGCATTTTTTTTCTTATCGATGTGCAAAATAGGGGACCTCTGTGGTACAATGTTCAATATCATCTTGAATTTTCCATATCCCTCCAAGAAGTATAGCACTGAATTTCCCAAGGTGTCATGCGACTTCAGCATGAGGCCGTGGGGAAGATTGGAGTGGAAGGAGGGGACCGACTGGACACTTTCTCCCATCTGATGAACATTTGAGGGAGTTTTTCCTCTGCCATTTGGTGCTTCAAGGACTGAGTATCTGTTAAATCAACACATCCCATTTTATTGATAACGACTCTTAAACGGTGAAAAATTAATTTTTATAGATGACATAATTGCCTATGTAGAACATCCCAAAGAATCAACAACAACAAAACCTCCCAGAACTAATAAGCAATTGTAGCAAGATTTCAGGATACAAGGTTCATAGAGAAAGCCACTTGCTTTCCTACATACCTGCCATGAACAATTGGAATTTGAAGTGTAAAATATAATACCATTTACAATAGTACTAAAAATACGAAACACTTAGGTATAGACCTAACAAAATATGAATGGGACCTCTATGAGGAAAAGTTCAGAGCTCTGATGAAAGAAATCAAAGAAAGATCTAAACAAATGAAAGATATTCCATGATCGTGGAAAGGAAGACTCAGTGTTGTTAAGATGTTAGTTAAGCTGCGAGTTCACATACCCCACCAAAGAAGATAGATGGAAGGCAAAAGCATACAAAAGATCCTCAGCATCATATGACATTAGAGAATCGCTCATCAAAAGAACAATAAGATAGCACTACACACCTATGAGAATGACTAAAACTCAGATCTCTGACAGCATGAAATGCTGGTGAGGATATGGAACATCAAAAGCTCTCATTCGCTGCTGGCGAGGATACAAAATGGTACCGTCGCTCCGAAAGACAGTGTGGCAGCTTTATGCAAAGCTGAATATAGTCTAACCACCTAATCCAGCAGTCACTCCAGATATTTATCCAGACTTGGTGAAAGCTCACCTTGCACACAGACGCTTACAGAAGCTTTATTCCTAAGTGCCAAAAACTGGAAGCAACAAAGACATGCCCTTCAATCGATAAATGCAGAAATAAACACTGGTACATCCATTCAATGGAATTTTATTCAGCAATAAAAAGAGACGAGGTATCGAGCCACAATAAGTCATGGAGGAACCTTAGATACACACTGCTAAGTGAAAAAATCCAGTCTAAAAAAGCTACCTACTGTACGACTCCAACTACATGACATTCTAGAATGGCAAAACTACAGAGACCATAAGCAGATCGACGGTTGCCATGGGTTGTAGGAGAAAGCAGGGGGCATGAGTCAGTGGAGCAGAGGGGATTTGCAGGGCTGTGAGACTATTCTGTACGGTTCTGTCATGGTGGGCACGAGGCATTATGCATTTGTCAAAACCCTTAGAATGTACAACACAAAGCGTGAACCCTGATGTGAACTGTGGACTTTAATGAATAATAACGTGTCAGCATTGGTTCGTCAGTTGTGACAAATGTCCCACACAAACGCAGGATGTTGATAACAGGAAATGGCACAGAAGGAGACTATATGGGAATCTCTACTCTGCTCAACTTTACTGTAAACCTAAAGCTGCTCTAAAAAATAAAATCTGTCATCAAAAAATTTGTCCACAGTAAACAAAAAAATTAACTGACAGCAAATTATATATACACATACATATAAAATACATAATATACATATGCTCGTACACACGTTCAGATAAAATGGATATCTCTTTTCATGATCATTTTTAAATGTTATAATCTATTATTTTCCCTTTCCTAATGCAATGCTTCTACAGGGACTGTCAATGAGAAGTGAGGAAAGGCAGCATTATGCTAAATTATGTTTACAAAACATTTGATGGTGAAGGGAAGCAGGGCTGAGGTGGATAGAAGGTCAAGGAATTAATTTTATATATATACATATATATATATATATATATTTTTTTTAGTAGCTCATTCAATTTTATTCTTTAGTTATTTCACTTTCAAGAAATACAAATGGATACTTGAGGATAAAACTGCATGGCAACAGTATCTACCGGATTTTCCCAGTGAGCTCAGACGTGGGAAAAACAAAGCGAGCACATACCAGAGCACATACCAGCTCACGGAGGCTGACCATCAGAACGTGCTGATACTCTTCACCGTTTTTACCTTCAATCTCACAGTCAGATGACGCTACTGGCAGCAGAACAAGGATCAGGGGAGGAATTCCAAAGATATACCTAAAAGAAACTAAAATCGACAGTACGTGAGAATAAGCCAAATGTCATAAAGTCATATCATCTGATTTGATTTGTGGTGTTTCCGTTGGCCTGCCCACTTAGTTCTAATCATCATAAGCATGCATCTCGGTTTGAGGATAGAAAGGGAAGAACCCTATAATTCAATATTATGTAACAACCTTGCTATATTATTAAATCAATAAATGCTGTCGATTTAATTTTTGGCTTACATTAAACATCTCTACAAGAAAAGGCATCTCCAGGTAAACAGGTAAACTCAGATGACGCGACGGGCAGCAGAATAGTAGGCCAGGTCCTACGCTGTGATCAAGCTCTTTCTTTTCAGCGATGGACCTTAAGGAGTCTACCCTTCCCAAAACTGTGACACAGTTGACATTCATATTTTTGAGACTCCTCATCTTGCCTTTCGGTATCTTCTGTTTCTAGGTGCCCAGAGACCCATATTCTCCTCAGACACAGCTCTATCTTCTTAACGTGTTAGACGATAAATTCACACCCTGTTAACTAATGCTTTGTATCTGGTTTTGATAAGGCTTCACAAGCAGGGGCAATTGTCTAATCAAAAGGAATGAAATTATGAATGGCATCATTTCAGGCAGTAATAATGCACTGGAGAGAAAGCCTTGAGATAGTAAAATGTGGTTGTACAGGGACATTCCTGCATGAGCCTGCCAGAGTATCACGTTTGCATCTTTCTCTAAATTTTACCTGTACTGTTGACTGCAAGACATCTCACGTGTGCGTCTTCCCTGATTAAAACTTCAAACAACATTCCTCAGAAACCGAGGGAGTAATTGCGACAATGACCTAAGGACTGTTGAATGTATCACAAAGTTCCCAATAACAATGTCCTCTACTGTATCATTATCTGTCATGTAAAAGTCAGTAGCACTGCCCAATAAATGACATGCTATTAGTGACCCATGTTTTTGCAAATAGAGGAAGTAGGCTGGGTAGCAGATAGGGAAACGAACATGAATCCCACATGAATCTCATCTCCGCACGTCACTGACACTTGACAAGGTAAGAGAAACAAAATGAGACGTGGAATCTATTCATTGCTCAGTCACTAAGTGGCTATGCACATGACAAGGAATAATTCGGTCATCTTTAATGGAGCACCTAGCATGTGCTAAGCACTGCTCTGAGCTGTGTACATTGCTTGGCACATGCTAGGTGTTCCATGAAGGGTGACTACCTTCAGCATCGTTAATCTCTTTTGAATTATTCCTTGTCACGCATATAGACACATATTATTGTACATTTGAAACCTATATAACTTTATTAACCAGTGTCATCCCAATCAATTTAATTTTTAAGAGTCCTGAAAGTTAATCTTTTTCTAAAACACAGATAGTAGGTTCCAGGTACTAATTTAAACCTGAGCTTGCTGTCTCACCAGGATTTGATCAGAAATGACCGTAATCTTTTGATAACATGTAATCACATCGTTCCTCTAAAAGAAAACCACTCCCATGTTATATGACACAGCTCTGCCTCTCTCTCCTTCTGTCCCTTCTCCCCAAAGAGTCTCCACCGTGAACAATCGCTAATTATTCACTAGGTCCCGACTTTGTTATCAGCTCTGCATGCGTCATATAAAGTCAGGCTCCTCTCTGTAACCTTACAGGTGTCCAGAAGGTATACATACTTTGAGAGAAATAGATGACAAAGGAAAAGTTATACAGCACATAACTTGAAATGAGCTTTAAGAAAAATATAACATAATAATTAAATACTAGAGTGAAAGAAACATTTTTCCTATTATACATAAATCTTATTTCAAAGGTTCACCTGTCATGTTTTAATAAAAGAGGTTTTATTTTCTATATAGAGCACTAGCTTTTGTGTCCTCTTAATTCCAATTTTTAGTAATCAGCCCTCCCAAATTCACATCAACCTATTTATTCATTGAATGGCATTTTACAGATGCTTCCAAATGACGTTGGTAGAAAATTCACAGTATTTGTTTTTGTGCATTGTGATTAGTTTCTCAAGTCTAAAACGTAATTTGACTCCTCTGTAAAGAGTGTCTTTTGTTGCCATTGTGTTGGATAAGTTAGTCCCAGACACTCTAGGGCAATGCAAAGCACAGAGGGTTTGCAGAGTGGAGACTCCGGCCTTCTGTCTTGATGTGACAGTGGGTCATGTGACTGAATGAATGACGGAGCATCCTTTAAGCTTCACTTCCCTGATTTGTAAACTGAAAACTTTAAATGATCTCTTCATGTCCCTCCGACTGTCAGCACCTGAATTCTAAGAATCGACCTGGCCGTCCAAATGCAGTAACTCTCCAGATACGAGACCACCTCATGGACGATGCCGCAGACTCATCTCGTAAGTTCCTAGCTCTCATTAATGACTGGCACTTTGGTCTGTGATCGAAGTAGCTTCTCCACACCACATAGAAAGTAACAGTAATATTGCTTAGTATGAGCTGGCTTTTGACCTTGTTGTCACGACGGGAAAGGGACTCGTTTTGTTTCAAGTTACATGTAGACACCAACACCTTCCCTCAACCTTGACCTTTTCATTAGGTTACAGAAAAGATAAACCATAAGGAATAATGCGAGGCGAGCTGGGGCTTGTGGGATTTTCTTCAGATCTCCTGAAGGGACTGAAACTGGAGAATTTGTTTTCAGTAGGGAATTCGGTTAAACCAAAATGATGGCTGTCTAAAAAATTCTTGTTGGTTTTTAATGTAAGCCAAATAATACATTCAATCCTCAGCTCCTTAAGTTATGGGGTCAAAGTGAACATAAGTAAATTAGTTTGTATATTGCCTCCAATCCAATCTTTCATCAGCCTTTAAAACCAGTAAGTGTCAATCGACTGTCCATTGCAAACATTACATAGACCCGTTTTCACTGGGAATTTTTAAAAAATGGTTGAAAGTCATTCGAGATGGAATGGAAGACAATATCTGAATGTATAAGACTTGACTTTACTGTGATCAATTGGCACAAGCAAATGGGTAAATAAAGAAAAAATGAAGAGTGGAAAACAGCCATATTTTGTATGGAAATCAGCTTTTTAAGGTTACAAAAATGAATTTGATGATGCTCACATAAAGAAATCTAATATCTGCCACAAGCATATTAAGATTGGACTATAAATTCTATCCACAAATCCCATGATCAACACTTAAAGACATTTCTGAAGCCATCCTATGATATCGCATGTAATATTTCATTCAATTCCATAACCATTTCATGAGGTAAAGACTGTGAATTAGTAACATTTTTGCAGATGGAGAATCTGGAGCCCAAAGGAACTTTTCCCCTATGTATATATAATGTGTCTGGTAAGAGACAAGACTCAAATCCAGGTTTGTCAGGTTGGAAATAAGACTCGGCTTTTAGCCACGGAGCTACACAACTTCCTACAAAAATAACTGTGCAGTCAAGGGAGACACACACACAGCTGTCTTCTAGCATGTGAACCCCACCAAGGTACTTGCTCACTCTGAAGCACTTCATCATCATACACCCCGATCTCAGGAAAAAAAAGACACTAATGATTTGTCGTTATGACGCTGGGTTATGCATCAGAGGTGAGACCAGGAAAGAAATCCCACATGTGAAAAAGACACATAAGTTAGTCCTATGAAATAACCTTTTACTTTTTGGTGTAAGATGTGTGGACACTGATCTGGTGCTAGGTGTAATTCTCCTTTACCTTTGTTCAGGCTTTCTGAGCTTTCCCAGTGATCCATTTTCTAAACCCTCAAATATTAAGTTATCCAAACTAGACAGCACAGTTGAGAAGCACATAGTGGGTCCTCAACTTCTTCAACTCCCAAAAGAAATGACAAAGAAAAAGGAGAAAGGGTAACCATCTCCTTAAGCTCTGGTGAAATCTACTGAAACAAAATGCGGAAAGCCACTTACACATAGTCACTATTAGAAATTTAGAATGCTGTCTGCTGACGACAACATGGTACCTTAAGTAATACAGATATACTTCAGGAAATTAAGACTGCGTGTTGACAACGCAGCCCCTAGCTTCCTAGTCCTTTTACCCCTCTCTCCACTTTAGATCAGAGACGATGCAAGGATCAGACAGAACCGGGAGCGCCCCACAAAGAGGGAATGGCAGGGGATCCGTGGGCATCGTCAGGAAAACTGGGATGCGGCTAATATCTAATTATAAACTTCTGCGGGACGCCCATGACACGTCTTCTTCCGTAATCGTCTTGAATGCTCTACCCGCAGCCCGACTCTTATTTTGTTGCTGATCTGAGACTTTGGGGGCTCTCTCGATTCTTGATTCTTCCAACCTACGCGCGGGAAGGGGGCTCTTCCGCCGCCCAGACCCGGCGCGGAGCGGGTGAGCGAGCTGCGCTCCATTCCCGCTCCCTCCTCCGCCGGCGTCTTTCGCTGGACGAAGTATTCGCTCTAAGCGCCCATGTCCCTCGGCAGATGCTGTCCCCTCACTTCTCGTCTCCCCCTTTTTTTTGCGGCACACTTCTCGGCCCTTACGTCGGCTGCATGGCCGCCGGCGGAAGCCCGCTCGCCCCCGCGCCGCCCGGCCGCACTGGAAGTCCGGATTGCGCGCACATAAAATCTCGGCAGGGATCTAGGGCGCAGCCGGGATCGGGAATTTCGAGTTCTGCCGATTTAATCCTGCCAACCCCCTCCCTCCCCCCAAGGAAGCAGCACCCAAATAGGAAGAAACAGAAACCCAAAACCGGCCCTGCGCAGTTCCAGCCCCGAGGACTTGGTTCCCAGCAGCAAGCACAAGGTACGGCCCCTTCGGAAACTCCCAGGCTCGCTGGGGGAGGGAAACGGGGTTTCCCAGAGACCTGTCCCCTTGGGCTGT